TGGTGTTCTGATATAAAAAAAGACTCTCCAAAAACTTTGGCCCCTTCAGGAGCGGGTCTCTGCCTGGTTCCTACAGAGCACCAAGCAGGTGCACGCTGGGAGAAGGCGACCTCGCAGCTCTGGCCAAAGCAACTGGGCAGCCTTGGTGACTTACCTGCACCGAGCCAGGCACCCTGAAGGGACGAGCCACTGCCCTTCAGTGAGCTGAGCAGCCGTATTTTGCCTCTTGCTTTCAAAACCTGTGTTGTCTTGAACTGTGCAGGAGTTGGGAGCCTGCTGCCCTGCGGAGGTACGAAGCGGCAGCTGAGCACCCCGAGGTGCGTTTGGGACTATAGCAACCTCCTGCTTTTTCCTCTTTACGCAGTGGATACAAAGCTTCTGCTTCACAACTGATGGGGTCAAGGGGAACTGTTGACAGCCAGGTCTTAACTATTCCATTACTGCTCTATTCACTTGTGATCCCAGTCCTATGAAAATTGCATGATATAAATTATTGAGGCTCAGGAAGTAAATTATTCCCACCTGAGATGGCTCACAGGCTGGTTCTCAGAGGTACAGGTGTCCTTTGGTGCCACAGCTGCTCACTCCTAGCTGCTAACAAAATCTTGAATTCTAACCCAGAGACTCAAACCTCCCACATACATGGGGAAAACAAGGTTATACCAGGGGATTAAGCCTCTGATTACACCTGTGCAGCATATTTACCTCAGGCTAGCACAGATTAAAAGGTGGATAAAATGCATATGGGTTAGGCACTACCAGCATCTCACCAGAACAAATACGGAACCCAGTGGACAGGTGCTCATTTGGGTACTGCACTTGTTGCTTTAGGATTTCTTCACATACCTATGCGCACTGTGACCACAGCACTTGACAACTGGACACGACATGGAGGAACCCAGGTTCAACTCGTTTTGTACGTCTGGAGGATGCAAACCTGCAGTATCGCGCACCAGTGACATATCCTTGGCCAGGGTAAGTTCTTGAACCAGGTCTCCCTTGCTCTTCTGTCAACAGAACACCCATTAACAGGAAGAAGAGGAGCTGACCCTCAGAGTAGCCCCTGCTTACATTGGGCTGCTGGGAATCAATTGCTCGCTTGACAGACGCATGTCAGCTGCTGCAACACACACCCGTGCACATTTACATCCCTGCTCCTTTTGTAGGGGCCACACCGGGAGCAGGGACTGGACCCAGCCTCTCAGAAGAGGAAACGCCTACTCTGAGAATTCAGGCACTGGGACTAAAACACAGCTCCGAACAGCTCATCAGCGTGGGACACAACTTTGGCAGAGCAGTAGCAGCACTAAGTGCACCCAAAGGTGCTGGCAGCAGCCGAGGGGCTCATCGGTGGCTTCGCGTTTGCAGGACTGAGCACCCGCAGGGGCACAGCAGCACCCGTGGCAGCGCACCTCGCAAACCTGTCCCTTGAGGATCCGTGCCCTTCTTCCCCACTGACAGCTTTTTCAGTGAGTGTAATCCTGGCGCTCTCAGCCTACGGAAAGATCCACCTCAGTCATAAAGCATTCCTTTCAGGAACCATAAAAAATTAATTATTCAGCGGCGCAAACCTTAAAGAATTTATTTGTGTTTGGCAGAAAATATCAACAAGTAAATGACGGTGCAGTGCTCTGCTCTGCTCTGCCAAGACAAGGGGAAGGTTCACATTAGGGTTTAATGTCATGGCATTGAAACAAAAGCTCTACTTAACTCAAAGCCTGTTTAGGATCAGCCAGATTGAAACCAAATTCAGCTTTTGTTCTGCAAACCGCCTAACCATACGCTACACTCGCTATATGAAGCGAGGCTTGCCATGCAAGACACAACCCTTCCTGCCAAAGCCAACAGGAGACATTGAGGAGGATCCAAATGAAGTTTTTGAAACCATGTGCAGTACATCTGTTTCTAATGTTCCTGCGCGCCATTTGTCTGATCACATAGCACAGTCCACCTACATCCAAACGCTGTACATCTATCTCTCCCTCAAGTGCCTGTGGCCTTTCCCGGGCACCTTTATGTCCTGGGTAGAGAGGCTGTTTGCCCTCACTGCGCTAAGGTTCTCGACACGTCATGCCGCTTCATGAAACGAAGCCACAACAGGACAAATATCAAAAGGAAATAACACTGATTGCGCCGCCACCCTCAACGCTTCCAGCAGACGCACGCACGCCGGGCTGTGTCCACACAAGCCGTAGCACAATGGCGAGGAAACGGCAGCACGACCTGCTCCTGCTCACCGTGGTCTCTTGTGCCGAGGGAGAGGACCAGCTGTCAGCCAGCGCCTGCTGTGTCAGCGACCGCTGCTCCCACAGCAGCATCACACGCAGAAAAGCGTGTTTTGGTGCACGGCAGCGGTGACGCAAACTGCCGGGCAGCCCGCAGGCACGCTCCTGCGGCCAAGAGCCCCTGGGCGCAGAGCCGCGTTTACCTCTCTCTGGTCGCGATGAGTTTCAAACTCTTTATCTTTCAGTTGTGCTTTTGGTGCTTTGAGGCTTTATGGATCATTAAATAAAGTTGCTGATTTTTTCAAATACTTAAGTGCCTACCTGGCCTTCTTGAAAATTTCTTCTTTTTCCTCACCTCGGCACTTTTCTACCTGCGCATATGTTCGCTGTGTGGATGAATGATTTAGTATACTGAGCAGGGTAAAACCATCTTCTTTGTTGTTTTTTTTCTCCCTCACATTATATAAGCCAAGCAGACTGCAATTTCATATTCTCGTGCGCTGTATTTCACATAGCCCTCAGACAGACTATTTAAAAATGGGGTCGATGAAAGCAAATGTGAAGGAGAATTTTTTTTTATTGTTTATCGCCACACTCAGGTAAAGCGAACTCCACAAATGATGAGCTGCTGCTTTGTTCTGATGGAAAAGCTGGAGGCAGGAGCAGGGCTGAATAAGCATAAATTCTGCACCAGCCCCTTCGGGCTTGCACTGCAAATGCCAGCGCTGTGGCTACAGCAGCCCGTAAACATGGGGCTTCAGCTCCAGTTAGACCGCTCAGCACCAAACAGTTTCTGATCTGGTAAAATGACAGTGGAGTAAGTTTACACAGGTGACATCTGAAAAAGTGTTCATCCCACGCTAAGGAATCGAGCAGAAAATTTCCATTTACGATGTTAGAACAGAGAAATCTGCACTAAGAGGCAGGGTGTGGGGGGGAGAAGAGCAATTCTCACTTTTCATAAATATTATCACCACGCTGAATGGATTCTGATGGATTTCAAAAACCAAAAAGCAAAAAATTGGCCTCAAAGAGAAAAAATAAACAAGTGCCTTTGTTGAGCAAGTCTCCAATATCAGCTCTGAAAGGAAGCACTGTTGTGCAGACAACTGGCCTTTTTAACCGAGAATGCTGACAATGGGACTTTCTTTAAGAAGTCTTTTGTAAGAAAGTGCTCTATTAAAATAAAAGTAATGTAAAAATAGCTTAATTAAAAATTAAATAAAATGCAAGAGCAGTCTGCTTCCTAGGGTATAGTTCAGCTCCCAATGGCTAATGCTGTGTTTTGGAAAATGTCTGTAGGACACAGCAGCCTTCTCAGTAAGCACGAGTCTGTCACCCAGTCGCTTTAACCACACACAACATACCACTTTAAATAACAAATCATAGATGCTGCCTATTCCAAAGAGGATTTGAAAACTCCATAAATGCAGGGGTTTGTTATGCTGCCCTGAGGTTCAGATGTGAGTATCTTGCAAATGATTTTATCACCCATCCCCTTTCTTTCCACTAAAACGCTACAACTTCCTTTGCTGGCACAGAGCAAGTGAAATCTGATCTCTGAAGAATGAGCTATTACTGCAGTACTAATAATACTCTCCCTGCCTCCCACTAAGATTTGCAATGTTTTAATGAACAACAGAACAGTATTTGAAAAATAATTCCATATGTACATCCTGTAAACAGACCTCAGGCTCTTATACAGATTTGACCTGAAGTGCATTGTACTGCACTGTCTCAACAGAAATGAAATTTAAGTCGAGGACAGAGCAGTAGATTTGTATGCAGGCTCTGAAAGCAATTGCTGTAGGTTCTTCATGCAGCAAAGTTACTTCCCGGCTCACTCAGAATGGAGCAGGAGAGTTTTCCTCTTTGCTGCAGTTCACCAGTTTCTACTGGGAGGCGATCGGTGCACGCTGCTGGGCTTTGGCCGCTGCTCCCTGGACCCCTCCTCTCTGGGACCCAAACACGACCGACTGGAGCCGGGTTACCCCCAACGCAATGTTACAGATGCCCCTTCTGAATCTGCAAGCTGGTCCTGTGCACTAGGCACCTGCTGCCACGCTTCAGAGTCGCTCCAGGCTGAGGCGCCAACCACCTGGTTGTTTGGGGACTGAACTTCTAGTTGCCCATGTCATTCGTCACACCTGACACACGTGAAACAAACACCTCCGCTGGAATGGGACAGGGCAGTAGAAATAACCGAACAATACAGCGGATCTGATAATCAGAAAACCTCAAATAAAGTTTCAAACACCCAAGATGGCTCCAAGGTCTCGATACATCTTTTAGAGTCATCATTATTACAACCCCAGCTGTAAAAGATCGCCAAATCAATTCAACATTTAATAGCACATCGAGCACCTGAGATGCACGATACGCTGATCTGGTGCCTTTCACTGAGAAGCAGCTCGCGGGGTACTCTGTGTGGCACGCCACACCACGTTTAAAACAGCCAAGGACCCCTCCCCTGCTGAAGAGCCTCTGACCCCACTGAGCAGCTCTCCTGACCCGAAGCAAATCACTGGAGGAACACACTGCCATTTAACATAGGAGAAGGCAACAGGACCCAGCCCTTAATGACTTGTATTTTCTTATTGCACTTGGCAATTGTCCTTAAATTCATCTAACAACGTCTCTCAGATGTTCCTTTAAAAAGAGGTTGTTTGTTTGGTTTTTTCTCCCCGTTCGTTAACACAATTACAGACTACTGGTTTACCTTAATGGAGAGATTTTTGCTTAACTCATCTGCGCTCCCTGAGGAGTTATACTTACATCATGCATGGAGTCAAGAAGTTTAGTCAGTTGGTAGAATCTCTGCCAGCTTTGCCCAGAGTTACTTGGACATTTAGTTACCATCTTCTTTAGTTCTTTAATGTAATTTGCCCTCATTTCTTCAAATGCAGCTTGGCTTTTGAGACCATCCTTGGGAACTGTCATTGAAAAGACAGTCTTATATTAATATTAACTGTATTGCTTATTCTTTTGATGTGCATACTTAAAAAGTTACACTACTTAATGGATGAAAGAATTAAACCTGTAAGCAAAGTCTATAATTTTACAGACATGACATTGGTAAGGAGTCAACATCATACAGATTTTCAAGTGATTCAAGCATCCTCTACAGATCTGTGATTACAGAAGCTGTGGCAGAGGATACGGTAGCATGTCAGAAATACAACACATGCTAACCTCATGCTGAAACTGTTTTTAATACAACCCAGCCACACACACACACACGCGCAAAGAAGCAAAGAAGGCAGATGGATCAAGGAAATTTTTTTAGGAGTTGGCGACATGATTTATCATTCTTGAATGTTTCCCAACACTTGGCAAAGGAGGGGAAGGTGCAGAATTACAGCTGTTCTGTGCAGAAACACTAAGCCAAGTGACATGTTTTTATGCCATCAGGTAACATCTCTGAATGTTAGTGAGCACCTGCATAACACCTAGAACAAACAGAACCAGTATTCTGCATGAAACAGAAGACTATTTTCCAAAGAGACACCCTGACCCAGTGTTTGACCACGACGTACTGTTGGCAAGCACTTCTAGCATTCTATCAAAGTCCCCATCTGCCAGAAGGATCGTATCACAAATGGGCTAAAAGCAGAGTTTTCTGATACTTTTTACTGCGACTGGTATCTGCAAGGCTAATTACAAAAGCAACTACACTGTTTTTTTTACAGACTGCTAATACCCTTGCACTCCACCAGGTTCTGCCCCAAACAGGAATGGCTTAAAGGATCAGATGGTAGGAAAATCCCAAAGAGTCATTAACAACGTTACACAAAATGTCCCTGTGTTTTAATAACTGGAATGGTTGAGTATTGCTTATCAATCAAACATTTTTCTCCTCTGTGTCTCCTGATGATAGTCCACAGATGGAAAATAAAATACTACACTGTATAGGACTGAGTTTATTTTCTAAGCAAGCCGGAAAGCCATGTCAGAGTAAGCTAAATGGGAAGTTACTCATTAAAAAAAAAAAAGGAAAGAATAAGGTGATCTTCCCATTTAGCTTACCCTGACTTAACATCTTGACAGAAATTGTCTTGTTTGCCTGCTGCCTTCTCTGAAACCCCGTGGACTGCCTTCTGTCCCACTGCAATCACATCGGAAGCATGTAACAACTACCCAAATGCTCCAGACTAGAAGCTTTAAGAAAAAGCACCAGTGTCTTCTATCACAAGTAAGTACCCACCAGAGCAATTTAGCAATGGAAAACAAGGAGGAGCTCTACACCACCACATGAACAGCAAGGACTTGGAACCATCAAGTGTTGAAAGGGGGCACAAGGAGGAATCTTTAGAAGAAGCCTAGGAGGTATCACACCGACTTCCCTGCCATTGAGTAAATATTATATATTTATATTATATGAACATAATATTTAATTTTTGAATTTGAGGTGTCAAACCTCCCGGCTGACAGAAGCAGCCGTCTGGAAGAGATGTACAAATTCAGTTCAAGCTGAATGAATGCAGAGATATCAGTAAAGATGCTGTGGTCCTGACACAAAACGCATGGGCTTTACAGTTCTTCTAGTATTTACAGGCTTGTATTAAAGACTGTTAGAGTCGCTCTTTCTTTGTCTACTATTGTGAATTTTACTGTTCTGTCTGAGAATTATTATACCATCACCCCAGCCAGATGATTAAGAAAGGAAAAAAAAAAAAAGACCACAAGTAAAAAGAACTCAAGCAAAAGCAAAACATGAAATTCTGGAGTTTTGCCCAGTGTTTCTGATTTTACTTATTAAATGCAGCAATGCTTTTGGCAAGCTCCCAAAACCTATGGTCTGTGGAAAGCAAGAAAACAATTGAGTTGTAATGTGTGGTTTCTTCCACATGTAAATGGAGCGAAACTTCCTTGATGTGGTCATCACGAAAGTTTCAGAATAACTTATGTGCTGCTTATCACACGATACAATAAAAAAATTTCAAAGCCTGGACTGAAAGGTTGTACCAAGGTGCAATCGTTCGAAACCCGGTTTGCTGCCCTTCGCATGGTGCTTTCTGGGTTTTATCTGGGTTTTATCACTATCATAACTTCTACATTGATCTCTTTCTCTCTCTAATGTAACTATCCCGATTCGCCCAAACCAAACCGTTTTTAGTAGGTTTTCTAGTGACCGTGCCGTATGTTTCAAAGGGACCCAGCTAGCAGAAGCTGATCTTGCATAACAGATTCTCACGATGACTCGACATTAGTTAACACTCTCAAGAGTGTAGAATAAGAAATCCCTAGCTTAAAGAATTGTGTTTAGAATGCCTTTAGGCTCTTTTTCTAAAGATTCTCCCCCTTTAGCGCTGTTTAAAAAGTAGCAGAGCCACATCTCCAATCCAGACCCTCTCTCAAGATCATTTTGGGAGCTAGGCCCCACCCATGCACATCCTTGTTAAGCATTGCTAGTTGCTTCTGGAAAGACTGCAAATGACGACCTTCAAAAAAGTCCATTTACCTGCTGGGGATACTCCAGAGCATATGAGTGTCCCACAGTCCCAGGTTCACCAGCAGACCATCTCCTCGAACCCTCGGTGAAGCAGAACCTGGGAGTCAGACCCCGTGGGCTGGGATATAAAGCACTCCCCAATCAGCATTGCCTCTCCCAGTCACAGGTAGCTGGAATGGCTTTGATGGGAGGGAGTCCCAAAAACTTGCCCCAGGAGGTTTCTGTTAGAGGATCCAAACCCCCTCCAGCCGGGATGGGAGCTACAGCTTCACATCCTCCTCCAAAGGCAAGTAACTTTAACTACGGAGCTACATCTAGGTGGGACAAGCAAGGTCTGAACAAAAGGCCTGCAGACGGGAGAAGTGTCTGTCCCATCCTCTCTCACCAGAAGGCACTGCCAACAGCAGTGTGGCTCCTCAAATCCCTTCGCAGGCACCTAACTGTTGGCAGCCAATGCGCCCACCCCGCGGCTGGAGACTTGGGAGGCTGCACAACTAATGCCTGTCGCTTGCCGTTCATTTCTCCCCTCAGCTCGTTTGGGAGAAGATGGGATGATGGGAGAAGACGCAAGATCTCAAAGGGCACGCTGGGCTCTGCTCACCACCCACCGAGGTGTGCCCCAGGCACGCGTCCTGCCGCTGCTGGCAGCTTGCAAGTGAAAGCCAGAAAAAGCAGAGCTGCCTCTTTGATCTCCTGCTACTCCTCCTCTCCCCACACAATGTCCTCACATCCAGCCTCCTCCTGCTGGGGGACTTCTTGCCTGGTGAGTTCACTGAAGTGACCTCAGGGATGCCCACCAATCGAGCTGGTGCACTACCTCATCGTGATGTCACTGAGTGGATCCCAGAAAAAGGAGCATGATTACACAGACAAAAATTTGGTTACAGGTAGTTGGCTTTTGTGTCAAGACTGATGGAAAAATAATGTATAAACTGCCTGGGTATTTATACAGTCCTACTGGGATGGGAGTTTTCAATATTTTCAGTAAGGTAAGATCAAGAGATCTGCTAATTGCTACACAGTGCTGTAAGAAACACCAGGATGTAATTCTGTATCTTAAGAAAACTCAGAGCACGACACTCCAGAGAAAAATAAAGCATGTGCTGTCATTTACTAAACTGTCAGAGCCCTGTAAAAGGCCTCAGCACTCTCAAGTCACACAGCATCAGAAACTACCCATTTTTGCAGTACAGGCAATGTACATCTTTCCATCTTGAAGGTGATGTTAAGTCACCCAGACCAGTGGCTTTGACTGGGAATTTCTCCCCAGTGCCCACAGCTGTTGCACAAGATGCTCCCATAAAAAGAGGGGTTCCCGTACAAAGAGGGAAGCCAAAACCCCTTCCCGGTCATTCCCAGCCTTCCAATGCACATGACGTTCAAACTTTAAAGAAGCTCCCGGTGCTAATGGAGAGTAAGACCTGAAGACAAACCCTAAGACATAAAAAGAGGCTTATTCCTGCGACCCTGCTGGAAATAGTTTTGCTCTTTCATTACGTGAGTTAAAATCACTGCACCTCTTTGCAAATTGGGAGTATTTTCAAGTATTCCCATGTAGCCACAAATCTAACTTACCTGTGCTCAACAGCAGCAAAACTTTCATTATAGTGTACTCCTCGAAACTAAGCTGCAAGCGAACGAACTGCAGACTGATCTGGTGCATCCCCTGGCACAGTTCAAACATAGCGGACTGGCGCATCCGTTCCCTGCAAAGAGAAAGAAACAAAACCCCGAGGGTAAATACGGGAGAGCACAACGTGCACAGGGCAACCCGCGCACGAGCAAAGTGAGGTGGCACCTGGAAACCAAGCACAGATTGTGCGGGGATCAATAAGACACACCCCAGCTGCAGAGTCTGGGTTAGGGGAGGGAGCTGGGGACTACGGATACAAAGCTGGAGCCCTGCCAGCCCACGCTGGCAGAAAATCTCATCCCCTGAGAGTTTTGGAGGATGCAGGCATCGCCCTGCTCAACTCCTACACCGTCCACAGTGGAGGACTGAGTTCACTTGGCTACCTGCAGACCGCAGGCAGCATTAATAACCACCCCCCACAAAAGGAAGGGAAACAAATGTAATTTGAGTTTTACATGCTGATGATGTTAACTAACAGGCAAAATTGTCTTAAAATGTGTTTGAATTGTCAGCGTTTGTTCAGCTCTGCCCCGGCTGATGGCAGTGAACCTGCTGAAGGGGTCAGAACTGGGGCAACAGGGGAACCTACACACTCACTTCATGCACATCTTCAAGGGTACATTCCCCGTTGGTTGATGTACAGGTGAAAACGGGTTTCAGAAGCATCTGGTGCAGAGACGAGCAGAGGGGAAGGATGGCTGGGGAGGACCACGCAGCCCTGGCCTCAGCCCAGCAGCCTCCATGGCTGCCCGGAGGCACGGACAACAGGAAAACCCACAGCAAAGAGCTCTGTTGCCCACCCAGCAAGCTTGGGGCTGCAAGGCAACGGGGCCCCAGGATCAGCGACTTCCACCGTGCCAGCACACTCTCCTCATCCTGAGTAACACAGCCCCAGAAAAATACAGCTGGCAGGTCTGGAAAGTGGGGGAGTGGCTTAATAAAAATAAAATAAAATCTATGTCTTCGTGCCTTTACATCTACTGAGGAGTCTGAAGTTCAGAAGCAGCACTTACACGTCCTTCCCAAGTAATCACCATTTCAAAACTACTTTTCCTGAAAATGCAACATGTCTAGCTCCAAGGATGAAAGTGTAGAAGAAATGAGTTCTGAGCCACTTACGTTCTTGTTAGTACACTACATGGGACCTCCTACAGGGAATTCTTACTCAAATTGTTGCAAGGGTTTCTTATTCAAACACTGAAATACTCAAAAATTCTATATTCTCCCCCCAAACAATCTATCATAGCCTGGAATAAAGGAGTACATAAGAAGACCACCCTGTTAATTAATACAGATTTTTGCCTGTTAAATTGTAAACCAGTAAGGATACATACCTTGCATCCAGTTTACTCTTTTCTTTCAATATACTTTGATACATTTTGCTTCAGACCCTACCTCTCTTTGAGGCAACTCCAGGCTAACCTGTCCTGCACAAGCTCCAGGCAGAACTAGTTAGGACTGTGCTGTACTTCTAAAGCCGCTAGCCCAAACCACAACAGCTACAGCAAAAAGTCACTGAGAACTGTCTGTCTCATTTTGAAACTGCAATATACACACGGGTATTTAGATGAGGCACTATAAGAGTTCAGCGATGGCTATTTTTTTTTTAATTGCTCAACAGCAATTGTCTATATTTCTTCAAACATTTTTTCGCATAATTGGGGAATTGGATGAAGTTCAGCTAATTATTTTAACCAAGCAACTGCCTTTTCAAATATCCAAATTGGCTGGTGAAAGAGAAGAATCATACTGTGTGCAAACAAAGACTGACGTAATCTTCCTGGTGTTTTATTTCACTACTGCCAGAGCAGATTTTATTTTCCTCCTTAATACTAATAAAGCGGACTCCCCATTGTTATATGGGCTCCACGCTTTTCCCCTGCTCCACCCTCTTCTTGAGACTAAGAACTTCCAAGTTTCTTTTTTATTTTTTTAACTTAATAGTAGTAGTAATGCCATGTTTATTTTTATTATGCATCATGGACTGCAGGGAAGAGAACTAATAGAAGAAAATAGTCTTTGGACGGTGACTGGAACACCGCCTGGCCCTTGTCTGAGAAGAGCAGCCTCCATTGCTGGACACACAGGAGCCCGGAGTGGCGCCGTGGAGGACTTAGAGACGCCTGTTGCGTGCAGGAGGAAGGCACCCAGTGTAACCCCGAATAACTGGGATTGGGCAAAACAGAGCAGGATTTGCAGAATTAAGACGTTGGATGCAAATGGGCATTTCTGAAGCTGCAGCCCCTGCTCTGTCTGAGGTCGGCGGCCACCGTCCAGGGCTTGTGGCCAACCCAGCAGCGCAGCACCTGGATCTCTCCCGGTGGTTGGACGTGCCCTGAGCAGGGATGGACTGAGTGTGCCAGGGATGGGAGTTCTTCACATTTGGCTGCTGCATGTCCCTCCTTTGGGGACATCACCCAGAACCACACTAAGGTTCTCCTGCCTGACGGGTTGTTGTTGCCCAGTGACCAAAGGGCTGCAGGCACCTCTGAGCTGACCCAGAGACATCTGCGGAAAAACACTCCAGAAGAGCCCAGCGTGACCTCCCTCTTGCTGCTCCTGCTCCCCCCTCCTTCTTCCCAAAATTACCAAATCCAGGTCTAGGACACAGATAATGATGGCTCAGAGGGATACATGCTGAAACTGAAAAGCAAATGGTTGTTAAGGTGCAGTTGTATTTTAAAAAGTACATTTTAAGGTGTATCTGAGCCTGCTAAAGACTAGCAGGATTCAAAACAAGAACAGTCTATTATAGGCGTTATTACTTTTGCAGGACACCTAAGTTAATTTCTCCAGCCTCAGAACTTAAAGTAGCTGCCACCCCCCCTGCCTGCGTTTGACCTCCATGGACAGGAGAAGCACCAGAGCTTTTATCCAATACCACACAGCAAATAAAATGAAACATTTTGAGGTTTTGTCTCAGAGTAGTTATGCTTTCACTAAACAAGAGTGTGGCAAAACACTCTGTGTGACAGCTAACCTAAAAGTATCCTGACTTCAAAATTTATTTATTTTTTTTACATTGCTCTGCACTTTCTGTGGTATTTTGCTTTTTCTCTCTTGTTTTGCTTTTCTTTTCTATGATTGCCTAAGTGGAAGAACTTAAGTGAAAGTCAGGGGTTTGTGGGTTGGTTTTTTTTTGGTTTGGTTTGTCCATTTTTATCTATTTACAAATACTAATCTCTAGTTTACCCTCAAGGAAAACCTGATGGCATTGTTTGTAGTGAGATAAAATTATATACAGAACTAGTTACATAAGTATTTTGTTTAACATACAGCAAACCCATAATTCCAAATCTGTTTCCCTCCTGAAAAAAAAAATGCAGTTGCTTATTATTAAATTAAAAATTATTACTAACTACAAACTATGTTAGTTAATTCATGACTCTGCTTAATGCAAGGCAAGCATTTTGTGAGAGTTTACAGAATTCAACATTCTGTTTGATTTTTAACCCACAGAGTGTAAAAGAAAAGGGTACAGAGCTTTTGGAACATTCAGATGCTGCCATCGCAGATATCCCAAAACTGTGACAGTAACGACAAAATAAAAGCAACAGAAATGGCTCATACAGTAAAAGAGATGGGGCACGTAGAAACTAGGGCATGTCAACATAACATGAACAAAATTATTTCTTCCTTACCAAATGCCTTATCTAAGAATAAATACTAACAAAATCATCACAAATGCTATTGCCACCGTGGGGAAAAATTAAAACAAACTTCTACGTTGCCTTCCACCCCACTTTTTTTTTTTTTTAAATACAGAATAGTAATAATAAAAAAAAAGCAAAACCCAACCAAACAAAGCTTCCGACACAGTATATAAGCTTCTCAATATGGAAAATGGAGAACATGAAATCTGATATATAAGGGCATGTATCTTTATGGGGACATTTAAGAAGGTAAGTACATTTAAGTAATAAAAGGCGTGAAGCCAAAGCTCTGAATCTGCTGCGTGGATACACATTCAAAAGTGGTGTCATTAGCTCAGTTTTGCTTAATCCTCCTTCATAATAATATGCTTTAAACTTTACACCTTAAGTTAATCCATCTTAAGTTCCCCGAGTGTCTCCTTACAGGCTTAATTTAATGCCGGGCTCACATTCTGCCTGACCTTTCCCACAGCTCTGTGGGCCGGCAGAGTGGCCACAACCAGCCCAGTTCCCTCCAGCTGCTCCTCTGCTCCTGCAGAGCCTCTTTGGCCACGGGTACCTTGTTTTAACTGGTTACCCAGTCGCTCGCCAAATCCCCACTGGAACCAAATCGCTGCTGCTTTTCACCTCCAGGAGGAAGATGAGGTGGCTGCACCTCCGCTGGAGAAGCCCTCCAAGGTGCCTACACCCCTGCGGTGGGAAGAGAGGTTTTGTTCCTGCTCATTGAGTCTCTCTCAATGAACCACAGCCCACGTGCTCCCAGTTGAGAGACTCCGTGGTGCTTTCCCTGAGTTCTTTTCTCCTGACTTGATCTGGGATCTCCCTCTAATCCCGTACAATCTCCGTGTCCTTGCCTCTCTCATCTCTGCCATCCTTATTCTCAAACTGACTCCAGATCTCCTACCTTCCTTCCACGGGGCAGGCCGCATGGCGACCAGCTCTGCGGTATCGGCTCAATACCTCAGCCTGTTTCATCCTCAAGATCTACCCACGGAGAGCTGAATACACGGATGAGAAAGTGGCAAACCAGCCCAGCTCCTCCTGTTTCCTCCTGCTCCACGGGAGCAGCAGCCCTTTTACACAGGGGCAATCTATGAGGCAAATGGCTTGCTTAAGTCCAAAATGGGACTGATGCCCGAAATCACCAAAGGATGAGCCATCTGACTACAATGGAGATGTAGGATTTGAGCCATCACACCGCTGGGGGGAAGGACGGTGTAAGGAAACTGTGCAAGACAAAGCATCCTTAATACCAAACCAGCAATGCCCTCCTGTCACTTCCACAGAAATCAAACAGTCACATCAAAAATTGTGAAACTACAGGCATGCGGTACAGAAACAACCTGTTATGAGTAAGTTACTTATAATTTATGAAGTCATCATAAAGTCTAGTATTGTGAATCTCCCTGTTGAGGATGGA